CATTCCTGTGCCTGAGGGGTTGTCCGGGATGCAGCTCTCCCTCCTCTGGCTCCAGATGTGGTCTTTGCCCAAGTAGCTCAGTGCTGAGGTTAAGTGCATCTGGAGGTGGAGAGTTTGCACTGACCCCATTTGCTTTGTTCTTGCAGCTTTGATGTCAGTGAAGGAGATGGCCAAGGGCATCACCTATGATGATCCGATTAAAACCAGGTGTGTTTCCCAGTACAGAGGTTGTCTTTCTGAAAGCACTGCCTCCTGGCAGCTGAAGAGAACCAGCAGCCATACAGTCTCGCTGGCAGAGCACTGTTTTTCAGCTACTGGCTTTTCTCTTGCTCTACTGTCTGGCTTCTTACTGCTGAGTGTAAGATCAAAGGCTGTTGACTCACTTTGGATGTTGTTTTGTAGACAGTAAGGTTTGCTGAAGCACAGTTACGTTAAACTTGAAGACTCAGGGTGGATCTTCAGATCTGGGAGGTGACTAAGCTACAGGAAGAGGCTGGGGGAAGCTACAGAGCCAGTGCTGCTTGAGGCAGTGTCACGGAGATGAGTCCAAAAGATTTTGGCATATTCCATCCGTAGACTGTTCTCAGCTGTTAGTTTGGCACTCTTTACTGAGACTCTGGGGAAACGTTTCGTGTGTGTAACTGCCTTGGATCTGCTCCTGTGCTCCTTGGGGTTACTTGTTTTCCCTGGTGGGTTATTGGAACCCAGCGGGGAGTTCCCCTGGGCTGCAGGCTCTGGAGCTTCAGCCTTATTCTGCACCATGACTTTCCTCTGTTGCCCTCACAGCTGGAGAGCACCTCATTACATCCTGGCCATGTCGGAGGCCCGGCACGACCGTGTGCGCAAGAAGTACCACATCCTGGTGGAGGGAGAAGGGATCCCGCCCCCCATCAAGAGCTTCAAGGAAATGAAGTTCCCAGCAGGTGGGCTGGGAGAGGCTCCACACGGGGCAGGGGGAAGCTTTGTTCTGGGAAACACACATCAGTGAGCAAAGCTGTCGAATGGAGAGGGACTCCTCATCAGAGACTGTAGCAATAGGACAGAGGATAATGGGTTTAAACCCAGTCAGGTTTCAGGTCAGATATAAGGAAGAAGTTCTTTACTGTGAGGATGCTGAGGCACTGGAACAGTGTGCCCAGGGAAGTGGTAAATGCTCCATCCCTGGTAGCGTGCAAGGCCAGGTTGGACAGAGCCTTGGGTGATACAGTCTAGGGTGAGGTGTCCCTGCCCATGGCAGGGGGTTGGAACTGGATGATCTTAAGGTCCTTTCTACCCAAATCATTCTATTATTCTAAGTTTAATGCTTAGTGTGAGTGGGGTCACAGCCTGAATTCCCAGCACTGGCTGTGTCACTTGGCTTTTCCCCAAGGAGTTTTGGTTGCTGGTGCAAGAGCTGCTGCTGGGACATCAGTAGGAGGGAAAGAAGGGGAAGACTTCATGTAACAAATGTGCATGTCCCTGTTCTGTCACAGCTATTCTGAGGGGCCTGAAGAAAAAGGGAATTCAGCAGCCAACACCCATACAGATCCAAGGCATCCCTACCATGTGAGTGCTCTGCTCCATCTGAGAGTGGAGAGCAGTGTGAACCAGGAGCTCTTCCCTGGTGGTAGATGCACCCTGTCACCTTGCTGAGCCCCAGAGGTTTGAGCTGTTCTGTGGTGCTGCTCCTCACCATTGGCCCTGTTTCTCTGCCAGCCTCTCAGGAAGAGACATGATTGGCATTGCCTTCACTGGCTCTGGGAAGACCTTGGTGTTCACCCTCCCGGTGATCATGTTCTGCCTGGAGCAGGAGAAGAGGCTGCCCTTCTCCAAGCGAGAGGGACCCTATGGACTCATCATCTGTCCCTCGGTGAGTGTCAGTGGTGCGGTGATGAGCAGGAGGAAGGTTTGATTAACACTCAGTGGCAATCTCTGATCCTCCCTGCACAGAGGTGCAGGAATGAGTGAGTTGTGTCCCTGCAGCGGGAGCTGGCCCGGCAGACCCACGGCATCATCGAGTACTACTGCCGCCTGCTGCAGGAGGATGGGCTGCCCCCGCTGCGCTGCGCCCTCTGCATTGGGGGCATGTCTGTCAAGGAGCAGATGGAGACGATCAAACAGTAAGACCTGGAGGGGTTTGTGGGGCTGGAGCTGTGCTCTGTTTCCTGACAGGGGACTAAGGAGTGGCACTCTAGCTAGATGGCTTCAGGGGAGTGTGGGAACAAAGGTGATGTGCCCAGCAGGTGCCACATTCCCTATGTGTCCTGCATGGGACAGGAATCCCGAGTGCCTGACCATCGCCTTTTCTTGTCTCTCAGTGGTGTGCACATGATGGTAGCAACCCCTGGCCGCCTGATGGACCTGCTGCAGAAGAAGATGGTGAGCCTGGACATCTGCCGTTACTTGGCCTTGGATGAGGCTGATAGGATGATTGATATGGGCTTTGAGGGGGACATCCGTACCATCTTCTCCTACTTCAAGGTACTGAGCTGGCATGATACCACCACCCTGAAGCTCAGTCCCTGAACCCTCCTTACTGGGTGAGTGCTAAATCCTTGCCCACACTGTTTTCACCATGCAGGGCCAGCGGCAAACCCTCCTCTTCAGTGCCACAATGCCCAAGAAGATCCAGAACTTTGCTAAGAGTGCCCTGGTGAAGCCAATCACCATTAACGTGGGGCGAGCGGGTGCTGCCAGCCTGGATGTTGTGCAGGTGAGGTAGTTAGGTGCTCCCCAATGCCAACAATATGAGGGCACTTGATGCCTCCCCCTGCCAGGGAGCTGGGGTTCATAGAATCCCAGACTGGTTTGGGTTGGAAGGGACCTTAAGACCATCCAGTTCCAACCCCTTGCCACGAGCAGGGACCCCTTCCAGTAGAGCAGGTTGCTCCAAGCCCCTGTGTCCAAGCTGGCCGTGAACACTGCCAGGGACGGAGCAGCCACAGCTGTTCTGGGCGCCCTGTGCCAGGGCCTCACCACCCTCACAGTGAAGAATTTCTTCCTAATATCTAATCTGAATCCACCCTATTTCATTTGAAAGCCATCTTCCCCCCTGTCCTATCACCACTTGCTCTTATAAAAAGAGCCCTCTTTCCCAACAGGTTAAGGGATACCAATCAATAGCAGTTCCTCTGCTGCCTGACTCACCCCTGTGCTCATTCCTAGGAGGTGGAGTATGTGAAAGAGGAGGCCAAGATGGTGTACCTCCTCGAGTGCCTGCAGAAGACCCCACCACCGGTGAGTAGTGCCTGTGGCTACCCTGGCAGCATGGGCACAGCACAGCCTGGGGCACAGATGGAACTGGCAGTGGCGATGTAGGGGCATGCAGTGGGCATGATGCTGCAGGACTCTGCCATGTGGGGGTTGGCACATGAATGAGCTGTGCTCCACATGTGAGCAGGTCCTGGACCCAGAGCTGTTGTGTGTTCCCTTCAGAAAAAGGGAATGTGTTTCTGGGGGGTTGTGCTGGTGCCAGGTGGCTTTTCCATGATGTCTATGCTGCTGCAGGTGCTGATCTTTGCAGAGAAGAAGGCGGATGTTGATGCAATCCATGAGTACCTGCTCCTCAAGGGTGTGGAAGCTGTGGCCATCCATGGAGGGAAAGGTTGGTGAGGGTGTTGGGCAAGCCTAGGTTGTGGTGTGCCCTGCCTGGGGTTGTGTGTGGCCATGGGAGGTAGTTTGTGATGGTCTGAGGAAGGGCTTTGAGGTTAGTGGTTGCTGTGATAGGTAGTTCTGGGAGCTCTACCCTTGCTGATGTTCTCTGCTGGGCCTTTGCAGATCAAGAGGAACGGACAAAAGCCATTGAGGCCTTCCGGGATGGGAAGAAAGATGTTCTGGTTGCCACTGACGTTGCTTCCAAGGGCCTGGACTTCCCAGCCATCCAGCATGTCATCAATTACGACATGCCAGAGGAGATAGAGAACTATGGTGGGGACTGGGACCATGGAGGGTGCGGTGGGGCAGGCACAGAGGCCAGCAAGGCTCTGTGCTTGTCTCTGCAGCAGCTGTGGGCCGGGGTGGTCTGTCATGTTGCATTCACCCAGGCCAAATCCTGTCTGTTTCTCCACAGTTCACCGCATCGGGCGTACAGGCCGTTCAGGCAACACTGGTATTGCCACCACCTTCATCAACAAGGCTTGCGGTGAGAAATGGGGGGGCTATGGTTGTAAGGGGCAGCTGGGTGCTGGAGCTGCCTCTGCCTCGGCAAGAGGGTGTTCTGAGCAGGCAGGGATGAGGCATGATGGTTGGTGGAGGGGAGATGGTGGTGTGGGGTAGTGCCCCTACCTCTGCCCGGGCTGTGTCTGATCCGTGCCTCTGCCCCCAGATGAGTCGGTGCTGATGGACCTGAAGGCCCTGCTGCTGGAGGCAAAGCAGAAGGTGCCGCCTGTGCTCCAGGTGCTGCACTGTGGGGATGAGACCATGCTGGACATTGGAGGTGAGAGACCCCAGGACAGGACCCCAGCCCCCACGGCCATCCCTGCTGCCTCGGGGCTGTCATTGCCTGGCCTCGCAGGCAGCCCAGTGCTGTGGCACAGGGGGGACCTGCTGCTGTAGCCCCTCTGCTCTGTTCTGCAGGGGGGTGCTTCTCTCCTGGCATGGCACAGCTCCCCCTGACCTCGTCCCTCCCATTGCAGGTGAGCGGGGCTGTGCCTTCTGCGGCGGCCTGGGCCATCGCATCACTGACTGCCCCAAGCTGGAGGCGATGCAGACCAAGCAAGTCAGCAACATTGGCCGCAAGGACTACCTGGCCCACAGCTCTATGGACTTCTAGCCTGGGGAACACCCTGCCCAGTGCCCTCCTGTGTGGGCCATGGTTCCTGCTCAGCCTTGGCAGTGCCCCAGCTGCTCCCTTGCCTTTCCCGAGCCCAGAGGCCTGTCCTGCACTGCCATGGTCCCTTTTCCAGGTATTTGGCCAGCTCAGCCTGGCGAAGCTCCTGCCCCTGGAGGAAATGTGTGGAGCTGTGCTGCAGCAGCCCATGGCATCATGGTTAGGTTAAGTCAGCCTTACCTCAGCAATGTTGGGCAAGCAGGTAGTGGTGCCTCAGGGGAGGAGGAAGCCCGAGCAGGGGTGACAGGTCTGTGGCTGGCTGCCTGCTGTCCCCCACTAGCCCTCGGCAGAGCCATGGCCAGGGTCTTACCTTGCTCCTCTCCAAAGCCCCTCGATTCCTCCAGGAACATCTCTGTTTTTTGGGCATTCTCAGCTGGTGGCTGTTCCATGTCCCCCAAACATGCTCTGATGCACCTGGGGTAAGGCAGGTAATGCCCTGATCCTGCCGGGTGGTCCCTATGGTGCTTCCTGTGATCTGCCCACTCATGTTCTGCCTCACTGCCCTTCTGCGAGGGGGAGGGCAGACCAACAGACACCTCCTGTGGCCCAGCCTCTGCCCCTCATCCCACACACCAGAAAGGGGAAGTTGTTGAGAGAAGGAAGTCTGCCCCATGCAGTAGCTTCAGCTGCAGCAGTCACATTTTCTCCACTGCTGGTAGCCCAAGTCCCTAGTCCTTGCGCGGGCTGCCAGGGCGGTGCTCGGCCCATGGAGAGACCGGTGAAGGATGGGATCCTCTATGTGCAGCACTGCAAATTTGGAAAGGTAAAGGGTGGATTTGGGGCTGGGAACAGGGTTTGCCCTGGTCTCTCTTGATGCCAGGCCTGGGGCTGGGCCCTCGGCAGCCTTGGAAGTAGGGACTGGAGCCAGACCTCTCAGAGCTGCCGGGGGGGGAGGTCCCAGGGCTCTGCAGCCCCAAGAGTGGGGCTCGTCCTGTGGCTGAGGGGCTTCACCCTGCGTGTGAGGTCCCTCTTCTCGCTTGGTCACCGTGTGATTTGCAATGAAACAATAAACGTGTGTCACTGAGGCGCAGCTCCAGCATGTGTGTGGGAGCAGGGCACCGGGGCAGCGCGTGGGACATGGCTCTGTGCCCAGCTCCCCATCAGCCTGGCCCTGGAGGGACCAGTGCCATCCATGGGGCACCCCTTGTGGCTTGGCCTGCTGCTCTGGGCCTCTGGGGTGGGCACCAAGTGCCGCAGCCCTCTAGGCTTGGCATGGGTGATGTGGTGGGAGTCCCTGTGGAGTCAAGCCAGCTCTAGGGAGGTGTGAGATGGGTGTTAGTGGAGCAGGTCCATCAGTGGCATCTTCTCTTCCATGGCAAGGCAGCCATGCCCCTGGGGACGTCAGTGGATGTGCTGGGCTGCAACCTACCTCCTGAGCAATAGCTGACACTGGAAGTGAAGCGGGCAGACCATGTGTGTATGGGGCTGGTTCCCTGCTGTGTAGGAGGCCGAGGGCTGGCAGTGGTGGGTATTTTGGGTGCTTGGTCACTCTGGTTTGGGCAGGATGGAGGCTCTGCTGTGCTGTTGAGGTGCGTGTGGGCATGCGCCCCCTTCATCCCATGACAGGCTGGGAAGGTGTTGGTGCTGCAGAGCCTCCCCTGGGAGGAAGCGGGCTGCAGGGCCCGGCCCTGCTCCACAGATGTGAAGCTGCCAGCAGGAGCCTCAGCAGCTCAAAATGGCTTTAATTTGCATCAGGGTCTGTCCTGAGCACAGCTCTGAGCTCAGCTGCAGGGGCGGCAGGCCAGCACTGGCAGCGGGGAGCAAAGAGCAGGACCTGGTGCTTGGGAGCGAGCGTGACTCACACAGCGAGCTAGGCTCCCCTCACCCCAGCCTGGGGACTGCCCTGCCCTGCAGCGCTGGTGGTCTGCACTGGCCCAGGCTCTCTGGGAGCCCCGCTGTGGAACCCCTTCCCGAGCACTGCTGGCCCTGCATGGAATGGAGCACTGTGAGGATGCAGCAGGCAACTCGTTGCTGACTTGTTTTTCCCTGCCCGTGCCCTTCCTGTGCCCCAGAGGTCCTGGAGGAAAATGCGAGCCCAGCTCTTCGCCGCCAGCCCCTCCGGCGTGGCCCGCATGGAGAAGTTCGACGTGCGGGATGACAGCATGGTGCTGGAGAATCCCTCGCTGCGGCAGTGGG